ACGCCGATCGTGCGTGTATGCATGGAGATGTTGCAAGACTTGTGTTTAGTTGATGGGGGTTTTAACGTCGCATTCAAGACTATTGCGATTATCTAAAGCGACACGTATGCATATGTGCGTGGGTGTGCGTGCATGTGTGTGTGCGTGCGTGCGCGCGCTTGTACTAGTCCGGACTAATGCCGTATAATAGTGCGCTAGCCCACAGAGTGCCAGTCAGGATAACAACAAGTACCATCTTTTAACGGGATCGAACACCGACCTTCCGTCTCCGGGCAGACGCTCTATCCACCACGGAGGCAGGTGGCAAGTGTTTTGACAAACAAAAAGGGGAATATCTCACATCGCCAAGGTTAGCTGAGTATTTTATACAGATACAGGACTATACTGAGTTTAGTAACTCATAACCCGCCATTAATATAAGACATAAATAATTAATCCTCAATAGGTGTGGTTAAAAGCCTCAAAATAAAAACGAAATTATCTTGACCATATAATTTGGACAGACAAAAGTTAAAGTAATATAATTATTTCATGTTATGGTTGGGAAAACACCTATTTGTGTGCGCCACGACACACGCCCTGATACAGAGCATTTAGACTAACATCTTGTCTCTGAAATGAACATATCGTACAGAAAAAACAGTTGTTCAATTATCTTAATAAAAATATAATAAAGGGGAGCCCAGAGACTCACTTTATTTTCAGATACTGCAGTATCTAGACTTGCCAAACATTATAGACTTGCATGGGCTGTATTTGATATATTTTGTATCGTTTGACAACGTTTAATATATTAACACATTGATTTTTGTTGCTATGTGTGTGAGCATTGATATTTCAATGACCCTTCGATCGCAAAGCCAGCAAGTACATGACCAAATTTTTCGACGGAAGAACCAACAGGAAGGAGTCGAGATTTTTAGGTCTCATTACATGGCTCCACCCAGTTGATTGCAGCATCTGTATGTGTATGTAAATGCGTGAGTGTGTGCGTGCATACGTGCGTGTGTATGTTCATACATTTGTATCCGCGTATGTGTGTGTGTGCTTGGGTGTATGCTTGCTTGTGTGTGTGTGTGTGTTTGTGCGTACGTGTGTTCGTGCGTGCTTGTGTTTGTGCGTGTGTGCGTGTTTGTGCGTACGTGTGTTCGTGCTTGCGTGTGTGTGCGTACGTATGTGTTCGTGCGTGCGTGTGTTTGTGCGTACGTGTGTGTTCGTGCGTGCGTGTGTTTGTGCGTACGTGTGTGTTCGTGCGTGTGTGTGTTCGTGCGTGCGTGTGTGTGTGCTTGTGCGTACGTTTTAAATAATCCAACTCCATATGAACACGCCCCGCTTTAGGGTTTCATTTGACACCAAGATCGCCCAGCAGGGTGTAGACAGTTGGAGACACGCTATATGCCAAACCTGGACTGTCGCTACGAGACCCACGGACACACAATAAGTGAAATTCTGGCCATGGACTTCCTCACCAATAACACCTTAGTGAAATGTGTGTATGAGACATTTGGGCACGAACTAGGCATCTTCATGGGCATCAGTTGTGTTCCCCTTCTTGCTGACCATGGCCGTTTGGAACATCAGCATATACTGTTTCACTGTACACAGCCGCATACATTTTCCGGTCACTTGGAATTGTGCTTTGCCAGAAAATGATTCTGACGTATTACCTAAGTCTTTTTTACTACCACAAACCCGACAATTTTCTTCTCACACTGTGGGCTAACCCCTACTCAACACAATACGCATCCTACTGTAGTATACTGTTGTATACTAATCATTTTATAGATGTGATTAATCTTCTCTTCCTTTAAAAACTATTAAATGTATTATTATCGAAAATTCTTCTAAGTATGGAAGCTCTTCATATGCTGTGCCTCATGAATTTCAAACAGTATAAAATTCATGCCTGAATTTTAAACGGCTTAAAATAATTAATTCTAAAGTGTCTATTTAATATACTTCATGCAGTTCTCATACCCGACATAAAGTTCAACATTACGTTTCTACTTTTCTTTGATCACTCCACTCTAATACTTAAGTAACATAGTGCAGATCAGTCAGTGCCTTCAGCCATGACCAATGTTGTTTTAAGGTGTGTGACAAATGGGACGTGTAACTAATGGGAGGATACCCAATAGGCAGCCTATGCAATTATAGACTTGGCGACCACGAGGCGACCCGAACTTCATTCAAGCCATTAAACATAATATCTCTCACAACTTCCAAAACAATCAGGGCGGTCGGGTAGCCTAGTGGTTCAAGCGTTTGCTCGTCACGCCGAAGACCCGGGATCGATTCCCGACATGGGTACAATGTGTGAAGCCCATTTCTGGTGAAATAATGCTAAAAGCGGCGTTAAACCATACTCACTCACTCACTCATTACAAACTCTTACATTGTATCAGTTACCAAGGTGCCCAGTAGTTACCCACCGTTGACTTGAAAGTCGATCGGCCTTGCACCGAATAAATATCCCTTCATGTTAAGGTTGAATCTAATAACGATCCTTCCTTTGCCAATTTTAAGAGGTGGGCAGCGGAGTTCAAGAGGTGAAGACACGAGAGACGGTCTCGAAGATGTTTCAAGATCAAGAAGACCTTCAACTGCCACGGCTAAAGAAAACATATAAATATTTGATATGATAAGGGGGGCGGTCGGGTAGCCTAGTGGTTAAAGCGTTCGCTCGTCACGCCGAAGACCCGGGTTCGATTCCCGACATGGGTACAATGTGTGAAGCCCATTTCTGGTGTCTCCCGCCGTGATATTGCTGGAATATTGCTAAAAGCGGCGTTAAACCATACTCACTCACTCACTGATATGATAAGGGATGATTGACGACTCACCATACGCGACATAGCCAATACAATCAGCATCTCTCATAACAGAGTTGAAAACATTCTCAATGGTGAACAGTTTCAGCACGCTGGGTTCCAAGTCTTCTGATTCCTGATTAGAAACGCTTCAGGTTCATCCTCTCTAGTGAGACTTAACATCGTTTTGAAGCAGACCCAGCTCAATGAGTTGAGTGATTTGTAACCATGGACGAGTTTTGGCTTCCCCACTATCGGATTAAACAACAGTCAAAGCAGTTGAAACACCTGACGTCTCCTGACCCGTGAAGATTCCGGGGTAGAATTGGTCTTCAGCAACCCATGCTTGCCGTAAAAGGCGACTATGCTTGTCGTAAAAGGCGACTAACGGGATCGGGTGGTCAGACTCGCTGACTTGGTTGATATATGTCATCGATCCCAATTGCGTGGATCGATGCTCATGATATCAATCACTGGATTGTCTGGTCCAGACTCGATTATTAACAGACCGCCGTCATATAGCTGGAATATTGCTGAGTGCGGCGTTAAACAACAAACCAACCAACCAACCTGACGTCTCCTCCGACGAAAATGGCAAAGCCTGTTCCATCAGCTGGCAAGGTGACCATGATGACTTCATTTTTCTGGTTTTCCAAAGGAGTCAAACTGATGGAGTATCTCCCGAAAGGTCAGACTATTAAAGGCCTATATTATGCTCATCTGCACAGGTAACTGCGTGTGAATGGCAAGGAAAACGTCGTCATTGTAGAAAACTCACTAGAAGTGTCTGGTTCCACCAGGACAATGCAGGACAGATCGTTTTCACCAGATTTGGCCCGTCAGTTTTCCAACTCTTCCTAAACTTGCGGAAAGTATTGCTGGAAAAATTACGTTATTTCTTCTGTGAAGGTCGTGATCTGAAAGGAGGATGTCTTCTGAACCAGTGAGATCCAGGCTTATAAAAAGAATTGCTGATAATATAATGTGGAGGAAATCATGAAAAATAATTATTAACCAATGAGTTGATGATTCACGTATTGGCATTTCTATCATCCGAGGCTCCAGTTAGACAAGTACACATTGTTCCACCTTACATTAACATTCATGTTTGGCTTCTTCATTGCAGGGGTATGAGTTATTATCTTCCTGTAATATCAGCAGCAAAACCCCAAGGAATAAAGATGGCATTCTCCATAAGCAAATTTTATTGGAATATAAGGTTAACAGAAATATCTTTTTTAAAAACAAGTTATGCTGAGACGTTTGGTTTTCTGTCGACATATTGGTAAAATTTGTTATTTATCATAACAAAAAACATATACTCGCCTAAAGTATAAACATAAAGGCATGGTCAAAGTGCAAAATCAAATGTCAGACATATACTAGTCTAAAGTACAAAACATATTAAACACTGCATACTGTGTACAGAAAGGCGGTGAATACTAATCTGAACTAGATAAACCAGTGATTGGTATTTTTAGTATAAACACGTTTTAACAGCTACGATGAGAATTCCTAGCCCCAACCATATAGATAATAGAATCTGGACCAGACAAACCAGTGATATATATTATAAGCAACGCCCCAGCCACGCATTCGGCATATGATGCCACCAATCTACGAAGTCGCCTCTTACCACAAGCATATGTTGCTGGTACACTTGAAGGCGACCAGGGATAGTCCATGATAGTTACGTTAGAGTGAGTGAGTGAGTTTGGTTTAACGCCGCTCTAAACATCATTGTCAAAGCATTGTGTGTGTGTCTGTGATTAGATAATTTGTTTTGAGATAGGTGATTACTGAATTTCTTTGATACATTGTCAATCTCTTGGTATACCAACAAAAACGATATTACACTGAATGTAGTACCCATATCCTGACGTGCCTTCTGATTGGCTTGCGCCGTTGAGACGCATGGCGGCCCTTGAGGTGGACGAGCCTTGTTGTAGATCACGGACACATGTGGTGATGAATGTTAAAACACGACAACCATTTTGATTCTATCGCCTGATGTTTTGTCCACTCATGTAATACCTGAGGATATCCTTTGGAGTCTTCCCTTGCAGTTTTGAAATACACTGTCGGTACGAGACCACCTTTTTCTTGCCTTTGCCACAAGTTTGGCGATGTGGGTCGTCATCCATGCGTTTCAGCCAGGCGAATCTGATGTGCTTCTTTTTCAAATCTTTGGGTAGACTTTTCAAAAATGTGCTGATGTCTTGGTTGCTTCTACCAGCAAAGATACTACGGAGGCTTGATAATATGGGCGTTTTCTTTGGCTCACCAACATAAATTATATATCCCTTCCATAGGATTGTGAACACGCCACGTTGTGTTTTTCTAAGGTTTCTTTTAAGAAGAGAAACATTGACGCCAGTATCCTCAAATAACGTCTCACAACGTTTCTGAAATATACAAGTAAAATTTAAAAAGGTTAGTTATGAAAATTCGTTTAATCAACCAAACTCAATATTTAATTGCACAAACCTAAGTATAAATACTCAGCATCTAATGTCTAAGAGACCAACTACTAAATATCTTGTGGTGGAGGGGTTTGGGGAAAACACCATTTAGTATGACAACAAATAACCGACGTAAATATGTGCTATGTTCAAAGCCTCGTTTGCAGCTGAGATTAAACATAAATTAATAACGTTTGCCCTCGATCACTTGTGGTCACACAGTAGTAGCCATAAGGTTAGATGAAACGAAGATAATCAAGAATAACAAAGAACTTCTAAAAACATTCAAAAGCTCAAGAACTAATTAAACTGAAATTATACCTGGGTTACTGCTCCCGATGTATCCGGATGTTTTCGTGAAACAATTGGCGTCTTATTTCGCCTGGAGGAACGAGGTTGGGCTTGAGCTGTAGGCAGCCCGTCCTGTTTTCTCGACAGACCAGGTTGTGATCTTCCAACAGGCCGCCCCGGAGATCCTGCCCCCTCCTCCCCTGGTTCAATCTTGATGATGAGTTCAGGTCGAGGTTCCACCCTCTCATGCTGACCCGCCGGACACCCGCAATATGTACAGTTGTGTCTGAGGACAGGTAGGGAATACTGAGGACAGTCCTCGGGGCAGTCTCGACACCTACCCCGAACAACTCCGTACTTGTCTCGGTTGAAGTCCGTGAACTTTGCCATGTCTGAAACGAGAACAAATACAATAAGTTTGGCTATTTGTTGGACAGCACGACTCGGGATCGTACAGAAAAAAGGTTAAAAAGAAGCCGCCATCATGCAGCTGGACTATTCCTGAGCTGAATGCAGAGTTAAACAACAAACAATAAGTAACAGTAATACTTAAACCTACCACAAACAATATTGTCATTAAAAAATGTAACCGAGTATAACGCTGTTTCAACCGCAGTCAGCAATGTTATGACGATAACGGTCTGTGGCCTGTTCCAAATCATGCCAGATCAAGACAAACTATTGGACGACAGCATGCATAATGAACCCTACTATCCAAATGCCATGACGAATTCACCAATGCCGCACAAAATAACAACACCCTTAACCCTTACCTTTCGTAATATTTTTTGGTCACTTCTTATCATAAAAACAACAACATGCACTTATTCTGTGAATTGATATCTTTTCAATCTCTGCAAATGGTCCGTCGTTCACTCGTCACGTTGAAGCTCTTTGTTCGATTCCCCACATAGGTACTATGTGTGGAGCCTATTTATGGTGTCTATCGCCGTGATATTGCTAAAAGCGAAGTTAAACTCAATTCACTCACTCACTCTGATAAGCTGACTGGCTATATTAATAACCAAACATGTCAGTAAAGGTGATGCCATATCAAATAATGACCTCAATAATAACGAAGTTAATCTTGCTTTTGACGAAATCTTTATTCAGCTCGACCAAGTATTATAAAAAGAAATTGGTCAGACAAAGAAACAGTAATTAACCACAACTTATGCAAATGAGAATACATTTGCCCGTTTCAAATTCAAAATGTTCGCAAAGTATCCTTTACTCCGATTTTTCGATTTCATGAGTATCCATTTTGTGATCATCTGGGCCAGATTCAGAACAAGAACCGACTCGCTTTGGTCGCGCGATGAAGGCATGGCCCTGCATGTTGTACAGTGGCTTTCTTCCTTCCATTCTTTCAAAACACTTAAGGTAGCTACAATTACAGGCATGTTTAATGTTAATATCAAGCCAAAACACTGTTATAAATTCCTCTTTGTATGCTTCGTGTAGGATGCTTAGATATGTTCCTATGTGTTGTTTGTCTATTCCTTTGAAATGTTTCCTCAGTGCTCTTCTGATTGATGCAATTTTGGCATTGACCACATATATTGTCCGACCATTCTCGGCAATTTTGTATGAGCCATTTAGTGCCTATCTACGTTCTCCCACCCCTGTCACTCACACTGTCGCCGATACCAACAAGTGAGGTGAGGTGGGTTTAACGTCGCGTCCAAGATTATTGCACTTATATAGCGACGTGCATGCGTGTGTGTGTGTGTGTGTGTGTGTGTGGCTGGTTGTACTGGTCCTGACTGATGCCGATTTATAGTGCAAGCTCACTGAGATACCATGCCGCAGTTTAACATGAATACCCCACTCAGACACAGCATACTTACTCCGAGCCGACCAGTCCTTGTTTTAGCCCCTTAATGCCGAGCGCCAGACAGGGTAACAACAAGTTCCATCTTTTAACGATAAGAGCAATTATACATAAACACTGAATAAACATGTCTTACCTGTGTGGAACGTGAGGGGTGTATTTGGGTTCTGAAATAGGAATCTAGGATGTCTGCACACTGCGTCTCCTGCACCCGGTTGTAAGACTGTGCACCTGACCTACATATAGGCGTCAGTGTTCTGGGAAATCTACTTTCTCTTCCGTTGTGATACATTCTTAGTAGTGCAGCCCTGCATAACGACAATTCAATCAGTCCTCAACGGAGGTATGCCGTCAACAACAGCCACCCTGTGATATAAGGGTCGAAGAGTGGGTGAGTTAAAAGTTTACGTCACATCGGCAGTATTTCAGCCATATCCTGACGAGAACAGCCCTGCATAACGACAATCAGTCCTTAACGTGTGTGTGTGTGTGTGTGTGTGTGTGTGTGTGTGTGTGTGTTTTCTACTTGCTTGAACAAGTTCGAATTAATGTCGTATAATAGTGCGCTAGCCCACTGAGATACAATGCTACAATACAATGAACCGGGGTTTGTGAGAGATACACATATGTCCCACATGTTGATATATCCCAATTGCAGAGCTATAAATAGGCTTTTGGTTTTTTGGGTATTTTACCCAGGGGTTTGATTTTGATTGGGTATCAACAAATTTTAGAGCGTTTTGAATTTTTCTTAACCCACCTATTTCTTGACATCTGAGCATTTTAACTTGAAAACCTGTTTCTAAATAAACCCTGTACGTTATTTAACTATGTGAATAGTAGTATACCTGTCTGCGTCTGCTTGCGGCTCCCTCTGCCGGAAGCCGTTTGCAAAACCTAGCACACTGTAAGTAAGGCGCTATTTCTTTAATCACCAATCAGCGACTATTAAAAAAAACAGCATGTACATTGACTAGGCAGTATGTGCTTTTTCATTGACATCTATCAGTGTGTGGTCAAGCTCGCCGACCTTTCAGATGCATGTCATCTTATCTCAATTGCGAAGAATGATGCTTTTGATGTCAATCACAGGGTTGTCTGGTCCAGATTCGATTATTTACAGACCGCCGTCATATAGCTGAAATATCACTCAATGCGACATGAAACAACAAACAAACAAACAAAGAAACAAACAAACAAGATCATTCAGTTCATTCATGTGGAGTGACTAAATTTTACAAGGAGCGATATGACTCTTCGCCGACAAACAAATCGTCAATCGGAAAGTCCTTGACATTGCTGTTCGTAAGGAAGGCTGAAAACACTGATAAAGCCAACAGCGGTGAGTAAATCCCGATCTAGTTCATTTTAAGAACTGTTTTCAACAGCGTTAGTTGACAACAGCTTAGCGAGAAGTAGCGTACATGGATATGCGTACTTGTAGTGTCACTCTGACTAAATGTCCTTTCGTTGATAACTACACTACATCTAAAGGTGGGTAATTATGTATCCTTTTTGCCAATTAATATATAATGTAACAATATATAACATATAACATATAATACCCCATTCTGTCGTAAATTAGAATATAGCAAATGTCAGCAATTATGAATGAGGGATTTAGAACGGATGATATATAATGTAAGGAGGAGTAATCATAGAATGATTCATCTGAGCGATTCAGTGTTATGAAACAAGCTGTATAATGTCACCGTGACCCTGATAACACACAGTCGGCCCCTGCCAGCAATCTTAGCATGCAGCTGAAACCCACACTTTTGTGGGTCGAGTGTTATTGAACGTTATTTCACACGCACACTTTATTCTAGAGAGATTTTTTTAACTTTTGAAATTTTGAAACTTTAATAATTGGAGTAAACATTACATTTCCGATCAGCATTGTTATTAAGTGAGACAGTGAGTTGGGTTTAACGCCGCTTTGAACAATATTCCAGTCATATCAGGGCGTGTCAGCTTAATGTTGGAGGAAAGGCTGAAGTGCTGCTGGTCACAGACGTTTACCACTTTTGTCAAACGGTAATGGGTTTGGTGCTAGATAAACTAGAAACATAATTGAACACACCGGTATTCGAACCCAAAATCATAGGTTTCTGGCGTACCCAAGGGACGCAACTCTACACAGCGAATTGTGGCGACTAAGACGACTGGGTCACCCGTGCCCCCATTATTATTAATGTTTATTATGTGTTAATATGTAATGTTTATCAAGTCTTGTTTTCAGCAATAGAAGTCAAGGTTGTGACTTTATTACAGTTATGAAGTAATGGGGTATCAATTGTATTGGCGGCCCAGTCTTCCAACGCGCTGCAATGCGCTGTGCAGAGTAGTGGGTTTTTTTAAGCGTATCGTTCATGATCAGTTGTTCGAATCCCGTGGTCGTGGACTGCACTAAACGTTTAAGACCTGCATAACTTTGGGCTTTACTCCCACTCGTTGGAACGCCATGAAATAACTGAAATATTGTTCAAAGCGGCGTTAAAGCAGACTCACTCACCCACTCGCTCAATACATTTATGTACACTTTCCATTTCAGCACAGTCATGAATAACCGTGGTGTGTTGCCTGGGACGAATGACTCTGGAAAGCCACAGGTGCATCCTCTCTACAACTCACACAACATAAAGCTGTACTCACACTTCATACCAGTGTATGTCCAGCACCCATGGCCGACTAATCTGGAGCTGGTTGAACAGGAACCGAGCCAGGTCTCGACATCTCGTACGAGTTTGCACGGTTCAATCCAACAGACAAAGGTTGTTGCACATGTTCGAAACAACTCTGTTCCTCGAGAAAAACCAAGAGATCACACACAGAGGAATGACTGTCCGCCTCCTGCAGCACATGGGGTATTGCATTGCCAGGACGAACAGGGAACAAAGGTTGTTGCACATGTTCAAAACAGCTCTGTTCCTCGAGAAAAACCAAGAGATCACACACAGAGGAATGACTGTCCGACTCCTGCAGCACATGGGGTATTGCATTGCCAGGACGAACAGGGAACTGCTGAGACAGCACTGGGGCTGAAAGCTAGTGCTTCTGATGACGTTACGTCGCAACCTGAAACAAATACCAAACAAGAGTGTGAACGTTTAAAGGACTTCCAGACACCGTGCATTAATAAAGGACAAGATATGGACACAGAGAGATCTTCGAAGACAGAGCGGCCATTGAATAGAAAACAAGACAAACAGGCTATGGTGCCAAAAACAGTCCGCATGTCGATACCCTTGATTGCCGTAAGTAGTTTTAATGAATGAAGTGGTATGGCTTTACGCCACTTTTAGCAATATTCCAGCAATATATCACGACGGGGAACAACGGAAATGGGATTCACACATTGGACCCATATGGGGAATCGAACCGGGCCTTCGGCGTAACGAAGTAATAGGAGTGACTGAGTGAGTGAGTTGAGTGACAGTTATATCGCGGCGTCTCGGCTTAATGTGGGAGGAAAGCCCGAAGTGATGCAGGACTCAGACGTTTACCACTTCGGAGAAACCCACAAGCTCGGGAATGGTGATGACAAACCTAGAAACATAATCGGGGCGAACCGGGATTCGAACCCACAATCATAGGTTTCTGGCGTGCCCAATGGACGCAACTCTGCTGCACAGCGAATCGCGGCGCCTTAGACGACTAGGCCACCCGTGCCCCAAGAAGTAATAGGAATGTTTCATGAACAATATTAGTTAATTTCCCATTGATTTCATTTCGTCATCAACTCGTCATGAACACCAACAATGTGCCGCTTGTCTATGTCATAGTCGCCTAAGGCGCTGAAATTCCTTAAGCGTGCCAGAAAACTATGATCGTGGGTTTGAATCTAGATTCTCCTGATTATGTTTCTAGGATTGTCAAATTCGTAAACATCCAAGACCTGCATCACTTCGGGCTTTCCTCCCATGTCAAACTGACACGCCGTGATAAGACAGGAATACTGTTCAAATCGGTGTTGAACCAAACTCACCCACTCACTCATAATGTTTTACTGGCTGGCTTACTGACTTGTATTGAGGTGTTACCAAAATACTGCTTTTTATTCCAGATGAAACCATGCAAGCTGTTGCACAGAGGTCATGTACCATACTCAGTCATCGTGCGGACGACGCGCAGGCCAAGTGGTGTGTACAAGATAGCCTACAAGTGGGAAACTGTCTATGTCAGTTCGCCAACAAGCAATATCATCAAGGAGCTTCGGAAACAGTTCAGTGGTGATGGCAAGCAGGAGATAGTAAAGTTCTTGCTGAATCTTACCAAGGAGGAACTTGAGATGGTGTCAGTGTTCTGGCTTAATGAGAGCATACATGTCCATCACTGTGGAAGGTCCTACCTGGAATGTATCAAAGACCTGCAGGGAAAGAAACCAATGCTTAACGACATACAACCGATTCTCTGCTCGATGACAAATGCCGGCGTGACAGTTATCAATAATGATTCCAAAACTTCAAAAGATGATAGAGAACAATCACAGCATGTATCTATCCTACCTAGCCATCATATTGAAGATGCTGACAGATATAGCCCATTAGATGATCATAGTGCACCTACATTCAGCTTGATGCCGAGAAAGAGACCTGCCTGTGATGATGGAGAGAAATCACAGTTTCATACAGATGCAAAGAAAATAAAGTATGATCAACATGGACAACTGTCAAGGCATCTTCCGACAAAGAGTCCCAAGGACATTCCCATCTGTCGACGTCAAACAACCTTATCTTCTTCAGCCACAGTGCCGAGTACAGTAATGAACTTGAATATGAAAATAACTGAGATGTCACTGAGCAATGTTTCTACAATACCAGCCTTGGCCGTCTCATCCGGACAAAGATCTCAACCAATACGAGCTTCTGAAGATAAGTCAATGAACCTTCAAAACTTTCATGAAAATCAGACAACCCATGATGTGCTTCAGCAGTTAGGTATTTCTCCCCGGTCACCAGAATTTGAAGCCAGGACCGAAAATGATAATATGTGGAAAGTGACTGGACATGCTGTACCAACGAACATCATTAGAAAAGATAAAAGAGTAGATGCGACACTTTCAACTGTCACTAAAGAGTACCAACCTGCCTGTCCTACCACAATACAGGTAAATAAATATTCCCCAAAGAAGCTACAACGACAGAGCATCAGAAGAAAATGTAAATCTCCCAGTAAAGAGACATTAAGAGATCACTCAACGGTTCTAGGGAAACATTCACAGACAGGATCCCCTTGTTTCGAACCATCCTCTGCAGAGAAGGGCCAGAAACACACTGTCGGTTCTGCACATTCTCAACACACAAAAATAACACCTCGATATGAGCTTATGCAGCCTGAGAAGAGAACGAGGGGCAATGTCTATTCAGATCAAGAACAGAAAGTATCAACAACAAGTGGAAATGACCCTACTAAGAACAAGAAAATGACTCCAGTGTCTTCCGAATCAATTTCCGATAACAGTTTTGCAAACAAACCGTCTGTGATCACGCCTAATGCTGTAAACCAGAAACCAGAACTAAATGTGTCCAAACTGTTGGAGAGAATGTTAAAGGCTGCACCAACCCAGCAGAACCCACCAAACTTTCTTGGTCAGACAAAAACGCCTGGTGAAGGTAGAAGCTGTAAAACCAAGAATCCACAGTACAAAGGCCGAGGCTCCCATACTGGAAAGACTTTGGTTTGTGAGTCCATTGTCTCCAGTACGCAAACATATTCTTCAATCCAACACTCTCAGACAAAAGTTAGAAACAAAACATCCGGAGAAACACGTAAAATCAGGGCACGACAATTGCTTAAGAAAGGCACAGATTCAACGCAAGGTGTTGGGGTATTCTCAGTGCTCAAGACCTTTGGCTCGAAAGTTTTGAATATGATGAACCCATTTGTAACTCCAAACGATGGTCAGTAGGGTTGCAAACGCTCAAACAACACTGAGCTTATACACTGCTTTGAACATGAGTTCAGTTGATGCGCGGCAGCAGCCCAAACTGATGTACTCTGTCGGACAAAAGAGAGTATTCACCCGAGGCTGATGATGAATAAAACAAACAAGATATGGTCATTCTATGGTGATGTATTTGATACAGGTATCACAGTAAACTGTTGTGTTTTAGACCTTACGTCTGCAGTGCCGCTATTCGCTGTGCAGATTGGGTCCCTTGGGCACTCCAGAAACCTATGATTGAGGGTTCGAATCCCGGTTCGCCCCAATTATGTTTCTAGGTTTGTCAGCACCATACCCGTGTTCGTGGGTTTCACCGAAGTGGTAAACGTCTTAGACCTGCATCACTTCGGGCTTTCCTCCCACATTAAGCTGACACGCCGCAATATAACTGGAATACTGTTAAAAGCGGCGTTAAACTCAACTCACTTACTCTCATCCTTTCTGACAAACTTGTTATATCCCTGATTGTGTTTTGCGGAAGTGTCAGTGTTCGGGGTGGTCGCCCTTCAAAATGGGTGACATGAGACGTTGACGCCTGTTGTATTGTTTTGTTATATATGTGTCCTGAATTGACTTCTATTATTTCATCTTGTATCAAGGACACTTAATACCTTAACGAATCGCAATTATATATCAATGAAATATCTCATATATTCAAGGTCACTGGTGAGCCCTCATCGGGCAGGTTATGCTGTTGCGAAGACTCGCGATGATTATAACTGGGACTGAACCGACAGCATTCAAAAGATGCGGCCTTTTTATACAGCCAGTTGTGATAATTGTCAATTGATATCAAGTTATATTTTCAAGGTCTTGTTTTCTTGCATAAAATGAATTCTTAAGTGTACAGTGATCATCAATTGATGTGTATGGTTTCGTAAGAGAGGAGCAAATAGTTAACTTAATTTTGCTCCATGTTTAGAACTGACTTCAACATTTCTTTTGCGTTTATGGAACGACAATTTCGGGGTGCACACTGTGTAAATCCGTATAGTGGTAAATGTTAGATCGTCTGGGGAAACTTCCAAGTCAGGAGTGGTTGGTACATCAGACATGCCTTCACAAGGGGGTATAAAGTCGACGCCAAAGGTGTTTGAAGACGGCAAACGACATCATGGAGATTCTGATGGACCAATGTGGAACCAGAGAGTCCTGAGAACAGGCATTCGTTGCAGGCGAAAAAACGTCGATTATCGATACCCCTGATGGAGGCTAGTGATCTATCGAAACACGTTTATGTTGTTTCTTTTTTCAGTGTTAATGCCCCAATATGGATTCCGTATTTAATCAAAGTTGTTTGTTATATTGTTTCTTCAGCATTTATTTGCTGTGTACTGTATACTAGTGTTGACTATAAGTAATGATATCTTGTAAAAGGCGATTGGTTAATTACAAGCACAGAAACCCATTTCCATATGCTATGAAATCTGTCACAAATTTGAAGATCTCCTTATAGCAGGGACGTTGGTTTCCAAGTAACCCTCGGTTCAACTATGAGGCATGTTTCCCTATCTTCTCGGCACCTTCCGTGGTTTTCTTTTGTTTCTGAAAATATGTTCACGGCTGTAAATACCACTTCAAATGATTCCATGTACAGTCTAGTATAATCCTAGTAAAGAATATAGTACTATGTATGTTTATAGGTATGTGTTTAAAAGTAACATCTGATAGTGTTGGTGTATCTCTGCAGTGGTGAATATTTGTTTTAAGCGAATCGTATTTTTTCTTAACATACAAAACATAATATTATTGAAAATAGTTAAGTACCATGAAGAATAATGTTTGTTGGAATCTTACAAGAAAATCATATGGACAAATAATTGTTTCGAAATAACAGCATACTGAATCGCTAAATATTACATCGTCCATTATATACACAAAACTGTAAATTTGTTTCACAATCTAAGACCCCGTTCATATGCACATGTATTTTACATAGGTATGTAAAATAATATTCTATGAAAGTTTGTTCTGTCAGCAAACTACATGTATGTATCATATGCTATGAAATGTATGAAAATGCTGGTATTATTTGTAGCTGGTGGTATACATGTATACTGAGTTTTACCTTTTATCACGTTATGTTTTCAGTAATTTAAAGAATAAAAAATTATCAACTATTTTATAAGTCTTTGAAATCCATGCTCCAGAGACTACACATGTGTCTGTTGATGCTCCAGAGACTTCACGTGTGTCTATTGGTGCTCCAGAGACTACACATGTGTCTGTTGATGCTCGAGTGACTACATATATGTCTGTTGATGCCCCAGAGACTACACATGTGTCTGTTGATGCTCCAGAGTCTACACGTGTGTCTGTTGATGCTCCAGTGACTACACATGTCTGTTGATGCTCAAGAGACTACACATGTGTCTGTTGATGCTCCAGAGACTACACGTGTGTCTGTTGATGCTCCAGTGACTACATATGTCTGTTGATGCTCAAGAGACTACACATATGTCTGTTGATACTCCAGTGACTACACATATGTCTGTTGATGCTCCAGAGACTACACATGTGTCTGTTGATGCTCCAGTGCCTACACATGTGTCTGTTGATGCTCCAGTGCCTACACATGTGTCTGTTGATGCTCCAGAGAATACACATGTGTCTGTTGATACTCCAGTGACTACACATATGTCTGTTGATGCTCAAGAGACTACACATGTGTCTGTTGATGCTCCAGTGCCTACACATGTGTCTGTTGATGCTCCAGAGACTACACATATGTCTGTTGATGCTCAAGAGACTACACATGTGTCTGTTGATCCTCCAGTGACTACACATGTGTCTGTTGATGCTCCAGTGCCTACACATGTGTCTGTTGATGCTCCAGAGACTACACATATGTCTGTTGATGCTCCAGTGACTACACATGTGTCTGTTGATGCTCCAGAGACTACACATATGTCTGTTGATGCTCCAGAGACTACACATGTGTCTGTTGATGCTCCAGAGACATCACATATGTCTGTTGATGCTCCAGTGACTACACATATATCTGTTGATGTTCCAGAGACTACACATATGTCTGTTGATGCTCCAGACATTACACATATTTGGTCTTGATACTCCAGAGACTACACAAGTGTCTATTGATGCTCTCCAGAGAATACACATGTATCTGTTGATGCTCCAGTGACTACACATATGTCTGTTGATGCTCCAGAGACTACACATATGTATGTTGATGCTCCAGTGACTACACATCTGTCTGTTGATGCTCCAGTGCCTACACATGTGTCTGTTGATGCTCCAGAGACTACACATATGTCTCTTGATGCTCCAGTGACTACACATGTGTCTGTTGATGCTCCAGTGACTACACATGTGTCTGTTGATGCTCCAGTGCCTACACATGTGTCTGTTGATGCTCCAGAGACTACACATATGTCTGTTGATGCTCCAGTTACTACACATGTGTCTGTTGATGCTCCAGAGACTACACATATGTCTGTTGATGCTCCAGAGACTACACATGTGTCTGTTGATGCTCCAGAGACATCACATATATCTGTTGATGCTCCAGTGACTACACATATATCTGTTGATGTTCCAGAGACTACACATATGTCTGTTGATGCTCCAGACATTACACATATTTGGTCTTGATACTCCAGAGACTACACAAGTGTCTATTGATGCTCTCCAGAGACTACACATGTGTCTGTTGATGCTCCAGTGACTACACATATGTCTGTTGATGCTCCAGAGACTACACATGTGACTGTTGATGCTCCAGAGACTACACATGTGTCTGTTGATGCTCCAGTGACTACACATATGTCTGTTGATGCTCCAGAGACTACACATATGTCTGTTGATGCTCAAGAGACTACACATATGACTGTTGATGCTCCAGAGACTACACATGTGTCTGTTGATGCTACAATGACTACACATATGTCTGTTGATGCTCCAGAGACTACACATATGTCTGTTGAAGCTCCAGAGACTACACATGTGTCTGTTGATGCTCAAGAGACTACACATATGTCTGTTGATGCTCCAGTGACTACACATATGTCTGTTGATGCTCAAGAGACTACACATATATCTGTTGATGCTCCAGAGACTACACATGTGTCTGTTGATGCTCCAGTGACTACACATGTGTCTGTTGATGCTCCAGAGACTACACATATATCTGTTGATGCTCCAGTGACTACACATATGACTGTTGATGCTCCAGAGACTACACATGTGTCTGTTGATGCTCCAGTGACTACACATGTGTCTGTTGATGCTCCAGAGAATACACATATGTCTGTTGATGCCCCAGAGACTACACATATGTCTCTTGAAGCTCCAGAGACTACACATGTGTCTGTTGATGCTCCAGAGACTGCACATATGTCTTTTGATGCTCCAGTGACTACACATATGTCTGTTGAAGCTCCAGAGACTACACATGTGTCTGTTGATGCTCCAGAGACTGCACATATGTCTGTTGATGTTCCAGTGACTACACATATGTCTGTTGAAGCTCCAGAGACTACACATATGTCTGTTGATGCTCAAGAGACTACACATGTGTCTGTTGATGCTCCAGAGAATACACATATGTCTGTTGATGCTCCAGAGACTACACATATGTTTGTTGATGCTCCAGAGACTGCACATGTGTCTGTTGAAGCTCCAGAGACTACACATGTGTCTGTTGATGCTCCAGAAACTGCACATGTGTCTGTTGATGCTCCAGAGACTACACATGTGTCTGTTGATGCTCAAGAGACTACACATGTGTCTGTTGGTGCCCCAGAGACTACACATATGTCTGTTGAAGCTCCAGAGACTACACATGTGTCTGTTGATGCTCCAGAGACTGCACATGTGTCTGTTGATGCTCCAGAGACTACACATATGTCTGTTGATGCTCCAGAGACTACACATGTGTCTGTTGATGCTCCAGAGACTACACATGTGTCTGTTGGTGCCCCAGAGACTACACATATGTCTGTTGAAGCTCCAGAGACTACACATGTGTCTGTTGATGCTCCAGAGACTGCACATGTGTCTGTTGATGCTCCAGAGACTACACATATGTCTGTTGATGCTCCAGAGACTACACATGTGTCTGTTGATGCTCCAGAGACAACACATGTGTCTGTTGATGCTCCAGAGACTACACATATGTCTGTTGAAGCTCCAGAGACTACACACGCGTCTGTTGATGCTCCAGTAAATTCACATATGTCTGTTGATGCTCCAGAGACTACACACGTGTCTGTTGGTGCTCCAGACTACACACGTGTCTGTCGATGCTCCAGAGAATACACATGCATGTATACCTATGTCTGGGTGTATAAGTTCGATAAGTTATGTATTTCTCCTCCAGACTTTGTGTTCTGGTGGCTTTATATTTCATGGCCTTGCTCCGACAATACATTTGTGACACACATCACCCCAGGACAAGCCGAAAGGGGACTCGTGTCCTTTCTCGAATGATTCCGTGATGGACAAATCATGAGAATCTGTAGAAACCGGTAATAGAATCAACGAGCCCCAAAGGGTCGAGTTGATTCTACTTCCGGAATGAACAGAGTCGAGTGATTGTTTTCCGACTTAAATCATGGTATGGTTGATATAATTTCTCTATAGCTTTGCATAATGACCTACAGTTGCGTCAGTTTTTGCTTTTCATCTTTAGAGTTTATATATTGGCGTATAAACCCTGAGAACAACTTCAAATAAGAATGATAACTATATTTATGTTTGAGTCCAGTTGTACTCATAAAGTGTTACAGTTGTACTGACATCTTCTTGTTGTGAAAACAATGCAACCTCTCTATAAAAAGAAACATTTTGTTATAGAATAGAGCCAGGTACCATCTTTTAAGGTCTTTAGGTATGGCGCGAGCGGGGATCGAGCCGTCTCAAATGTTTTTTTGTGTACATGGTGTGCGGAATACCATCATATAAACATAAAAATAACCTGTAACAAAGCACTATCAATTATCTGCGATGGGGATTAAGCGCAGAATAACTAGGAGGGGCCATATTGACTTTAGCTGTTGTACAGTAAGATTTGGGTAGCAATTGGCTGATTGGCTGACTGACATAGAAGCACAGCCACGTGACAGATATGACGTCACTATAGTAGACTATACAATTACACCAAACATAGTTTAACAAAGAAGGTCACTCGGTGACAAATGTATTGAGGCAATATCACATATCAGTCAAAACAGATTGCAGAAAGATATGTTTGTTTGGAACCCGAACAACAACGTCAAATTTTTGAATGAAGAGACTTGGGGTTCCTTTAGAGAATTATTATATATATAAACCTTACACATAACGTTATTTATACATTAGCCGGCAGGGAAATGAAAACATGCGCCCATGTTTGATGGTGATAAAAATGAAACCAACAAGAAATGGTTATTCGATGGTGATGTATTTCATACGGATATTATATGTGTCTTTTGGACCTTAAGTTTGCAGTATTTCGGCGACTGTTTCAGCCTTGTAACGTTTTGATGATGTTTGTAATGTTTTGGTCAAGTCCACGTTTGCAGTGTATCCTTTCTTTTGCCCGGCAGTTTGTGTTAGTCTAGGGAGAGCCAAGCTTAAGGTATATCACTATATGTTTGCCCAGCCTAAGTAAGGGTAGCCACGTTTGGCTAGCTATCAATCCTTGGCACAGGATCTCAAATTTTCGTTCTTCGGTCACCATACGAGATAACACCATGCGCCCGGCTGATTACCCAACTAGATGTTTTGCTGATATGGACCCTCTGCAAGGTGTAACAAAACTGACTTAACACCGGTATCTTCGTTTCTGAAAGTCGTTTGGCTGGATATCACCTGCGTTAGACACATTACTTGATCGGCGGCAGGTAAGAGGATCTGATTTATTACTGATTGTAATTTTTATGTTGCTGGGTCGGCAGCGATACGTTTTTATATTCATATTGTTGCTACATGTGTGCTGACTGATAAATCAACGTTATCTCAATGCACCTACTAAGATAGCTGCATATATCAGTTGTCGGGACCTTCCGGGACTATGAAAGCGTTATGCTAAATATTTGTGAACTACTTTACCTATGTTGATATATGCCGTCATGGAGACTATACAAAGAGAGAGTGGACACTTATTAGTCATTTATCTACAATATACAGTAAACTACTGTTAAAACGAAATCAAAGGGACTACTTATTTTAGTTCGTTATAACCGTAGTTCGTTATAAGCATATAAACAGCATAACTACAGCAAATAGTCGGGACCAAAATGTAAGTTCGTTATATCCGTCAGTTCGTTATAAGCGTGTTTGTTTTAACCGTAGTCTACTGTATAGTGAGTGAGTGAGTTCAAATTTAACGTCACATCGGCAGTATCTCAGCCATATAGTGACGAGGTCTGCTGTATAGTGGAACCGCTGGAAGATGGTCCCGCTCCGGTGCACTCATGGTCGATTCGTTGCTGGAAATGGGAATATCTCTGTTCGCTGGTTCCCGTAGTCACTCGGAAATACAGGAAGACAGAATCGGAATACCGCCGGAAACAAGCAAAAACAGCAGAAATTTAATCCCATAGCGTTACGTCCCTTTGTTGCTGTTTACTTCCTGCTCATGGTGTCTCTGCCGGTTCTAGCCACATCATCTAAAACAGAAAACGTTTCAAGACTGATATCAATATAAAGAAACATAATTAAAAAAATACATGTACACGTAATTTATTTCGGTTTATAACGCTATAGACTTACCAAGCCACAAATCTACGTAGCTAAAAACAGGGTCAAGACAATTCCCCACATTTTTCTTGTTAGAAATTAATAAGAGGAAGCTTCGTGGTTTGCTCCGGATATATTTTCAGGTGTTCTACTAAACTTTGCTACCAATAATCAGAGAATATTAGAAATGAGTATGGAGTGCCATGTTGTCTGGCTGTAGCTATGACTTCTGATTTTAACAATCACCCGGCGTAACCATGTTGACGTCGCTTTTTACAGTTTAAAAGAAGATGTTATCCACAAAACTGTGTGTACCTTGTCACCGGTCAAGTTCTAAGTAATGCGTATCAAACAAGTTAAATTTGTCAAGTAAGGTAGGAGCCATTTGATGTTACCGAGCATGCGCAGAAGTCGTGCATAAGATCCATCGGAAATCGCCGAGTGCCCACTCCCTCTAAAAAGATTATGCTATATTATACGAGTGCAGTGTCACAGTAAACTTTCACCAAGTTCACACTGATAACGTATGTAGTTATAAATCGCGGGCAGTATCAGTGCATGCGTTATGTCTGAATTGTGAAAGTCAAGTCTGTAACAGATATGATAGATTACACTGCAATGTGAGTTTGTGTTAAACGGTAGTTCTACATGCTAAACGAGTGTACGCGCAAGCACGCGCACGCATGCGCACGCACGCGCACGCGCACGCGCACGCGCACACACACACACGTTGTATATAGTTACATGTTGTCCACACACACCTATGTAATTAACAAAGCTTCACAGCATGAAAGGGCCAGCAGCCAAGTTGATGAGGAACAACAACAAGCCATCTTTTTATCTTGCTAACTAACTGTTAACGGTCAATGTTTACTCATATATTCTACTTCAAAATTGCCACATTACTCCGAATCCTTGAGCAAATCTCCAGGAAAACATTGTTGATTAATATGCATTGCTGTTAAAGTGTGTACGTTGCGCCTGCTACCAAACATGATTTTATATCTCAGTATTACTTTACAGCATAGCCCATACGATCCTTGGGCTGCTTTAGGTAATGACGTGATAGTGAATCCTTATATGGTTCACTCATAATGCCATAACATTATACGTTTCTATCGAGATAACATCACTACACATTTATATATAATGTAGTCACCTTAATAAATCTGAATGTACACTATATTTCTACTCACCTTCTTATCACCATCAAGCAATTCCCTTCGTAACCCGCAAGAAGACTCGTCCCCCTATCGATGAATGTTATGTACGAAAATACGACAAACCAATCAGAATGCGCGTATGATTTCAAGTTCTTCGTCAAAGAATCCCTCAGAAATAATTTTTGATTTTATATTTATCTTCCATCTAAAGATATACTCAAAACACAGTTACATGTGTTCAATCATTCTGGATAATTCTGCATGTCCCGATGTGCTTTAAATTGCATCTGAAATATATATAATATATGGGGAAATATGGGGAAATATCCATTACGCAACGAGTTGACAAATGTTTTAGGTATGCCCGTTTGCGCTAAGACGGAACCCGGTCGCAAAAATGTCCATGAGGGGGGCACGAGTCGCTATTCGGCTTGTCCCGGAATAACACGAGTTGGTCACGAATGAGTGTACACTGGCACTTTTGAAATTTCCCACTGATATCCGTTATCTGTTATCATCTTCAAGTCATTTCCCTTCGTAATCCAAACTTGCAATTGACTAGTGTACACCAGCACGTATGAAATTACCCGCTGATATCCGCTATTTGCTTGTCATGGTCACAAGTGGGGTAACATGAGTAAGCATCCCACTCATGTATGCAATTGTTGTTACTGTTAATCCTCCACCTACTCTACAAATTCTGTACCATGTTCTTCATTCAGTCTTGCTTGACAACGGTATAAGGATCTGTACCGAAACGTCGCTTTTAGAGTAATTAAAGAAATTGTCATCCATAAATTGTGTCTACTTTGTCATCCGTCAACTTCTAAGTAATGTGTATCAAACCTTTCCTCACCATACTAAAAGTAATATAGTTCTATTTGCAAGTTGGCATGTAGGATTTATTCATTCCGAATTGATAATGTGGGTTGACGTTGTACAATACTGGCTTGCAGTTGGTATCTTTTGTTGCATGATCTACTACAAATGCTTATGCAATTTCAGTTAATTTAAATTTTAGTGTGCAATGTTATCTCTATATTCATGCAGCTGTTTTTTTACTTGATACTTGTATTACTTGTGGGGATATAGAGTTAAACCTGGACCAAAGACATATGCAGACATGAAGGTAATCCATATTAATGTCTGTAGTCTCAAGGACAAAACAGATAGCATAGCAGCTGAATTATTAAAATATGATGTGATATGTTTGAGTGAGACCTGGCTGGCTGTGGTATTGCATTACCTGGCTTCCAAATACCATTTAGGTGTGACAGACCAGCAAGGGGAGGCGATGTAGTTACATATGTTAGAAACTGTCTATCTGCTAAAAGACTTGATGATCTAGTACAAGTGGATCTTGAGGTAGTTTGGGTACAAGTTAAAATTGAAAATGAAAATTTGCTCACAGGTACCATGTACCGTGCAGATAAAAGCATAAATTATTCTAATATGATAGAGGAATCTATTGGTAAATGTTGTCGATCTTAATATGATCACAATTATGAAAGGTGATTTTAATGTTGCTTGTCTTTGAAATCAGAAGGCAGGTGTCTTAAATTTGGAGGACACACGTGGTCTAAGGCAGATAATTAAAGAACCAACAGCAACCACGTCGCATTCCAGCACATTAATTGATATAATTTTCTGCACACACAAAAATAAAGTTGTGAAGTCTGGAGTACTTGATCCTATTTGCACTGACCACTGTCCAGTATTTGCACATGTTAGTGTAAGAAAGACTTGCAACGATTGCAATGTTTTACCAAGGCATCGAGACGTGTGTCTTCAAGTATGTCTTTATTATTCTCAGAGATAATGATACTTTGTCAAAATTGCACTCGGGTTTTATATCTGGAGATTCCACATAAGTCAACTCACGTATGTATACAGTGAGATAGATAATGCTTTAGACAATGCACAAAGGAATAAACTGGTATGTTGTGTGAACCAATGCTCATGAACACATCACATGTGACGTCATAGATCCATGACTCGAGATGCACCGTGCAGGATTAGCGTGTAAAGTTGTTTTAAATCACGTGCAGTATATCGTGCAAAGAATAAAGACACTCTGTGGTAACACTTGACTGATGGTTAGTTTTGTCATTAATTGGTACACATTGGAAAACTCTCTTCGTTACGTACATACTTCTCTATAAGTTTCGATGGTTCGCGTTTCTTTTGGCGGTGAGTATAGATAATCATTACAATTTAAGAGTGAGTGAGTAAGGTTTTACACCGCTTTTAGCAATATTCCACCAATATTGCGGCGGGGAACACTAGAAATGGGCGTCACACATTGTGCCCATGTAGGGTAATCGAACCGGGATCTACGGTATGACGAGGGAATGCGTTTTAACCAATAGGATACCCCACCCTCCCTACAAGTTAAGAAATGGTATGCAGCTACAAGAAATATTTTGTAAAACTTCGTTTTGCACCAAGTTATTTCTTCAAGCTGCCACCCGCCTTTAGAATCTGTAACCAGATGATGTAACGCATTCTAGTACGTACGCTGATTTTAAAAAAACCCAACTTTTTGATACAGTTATCTCAATAGACATAGTGAGTGAGAACGGTTTTACGCTGCTTTTAGCAATATTCCAGCACTATTCTACCCATGTCGGGAATAGAACCCGTCTTCGGCGTGACGAGCGAACACCACAAGGCTACCCGACCCGCCCCCAATCTTCAAAAAGTTGAAAGACATATATTTCAAATATTGCAGTATGTCAGTGCGGTTTTTATTGGGAGTCTCCACTTCACTTCCTTTACTTATTTATCGTAACACTAGAAGCACTATGTACTACTATATAAAGGGTTTTGGTATGACAACAGCATTGTATGGTGACAGGATTTAACAAGAGATGTCAACCATAACATGTCTGTAGATGATTTTATAGAAAACAGTGGTAGGTTTGTACATTGAGTTAAATATGTGTCAAGCTTATACGCACATGGCTTTAGTGTTGGTAACATGAATGGTCTTGCTACTATTTTAATTTTTCTGGGCCTTAAAGTTTTGATGTCAACACAAATGTAATGGTGTAAGAGACAGAGCGTTGTTTACACAAGCCAGTTAGGCGAAAACATTTATATCTTTAAACTACGTGACGCCTACCCGTAGTGCTCGATATGCATTGTTTGCCTAGTGATATGTTGACACGAATGAGCTGTCAAAGTTTCCAGGAAAAGTCACAAAGCCCCGCCCACAGATAAGCGTCAATTTCTTATCAGGGGAACACCAATGCACGTCCTTGGTCCTTGTGCAGTAAGACAGGTGTTAAAAGGTAGGTGGTTTGTGCATATGTGTGCATCGATAATGCATCCGACAGTAGATTCAGGTGTACAGCTAACAATCGGCAATACCTGGTTTGCCTGGTTTGATTGTATCTGTTTCAATGGTTACCACGACCCGTGAAGATCCGGAATAGAATAGGTCTTCAGCAAACCACGCTTGCCGTAAAAGGCGACTGTGCTTGTCGTAAAAGGCGACTAACGGGATCGGGTGGTCAGGCTCGCTGACTTGGTTGATGCATGTCATCATATCCCAATTGCGTAGATCGATTCTCATGATGTCAGTCACTGGATTGTCTGGTTCAGATTATTTACAGACCGCTGTCATATAGCTGGAATATTGCTGAGTGCGGGGTTTAACAACAAACAAACATTGTTGACCACTCAGAGTGATCAACGTTGATAAAACAACAAGCAGTGGACCTTAGAACGATAGCGGGATTAGTTATATTCAGTTTCTGGTGACAGTGTTCACCCTGAACCTGATGTGCTAATGAGTGAGTGCGTTGGGTTTTACGCCGCTTTTAACAGTATTCCAGTTATATCACAGCGTGTCAGCTTAATGTGGGAGGAAAGCCCGAAGTGATGCAGGTCTTAGACGTTTACAACTTCGGTGAAACCCACGAGCACCGGTATGGTGCTGACAAATCTAGAAACATAATCGGGGCGAACAGGGATTCGAACCAACAATCATAGGTTTCTGGCGTGCCCAAGAGACGCAACTCTGCACAGTGTGTGCGGCCACCAGTGGAGCCGATGTGCTAGTGAATGAGTTGAAGTCATAATCATGTGAAAGCTGTTCATGTCAAAATTGCTGGACTTAACTGCTGGATCAGTTACACTTATTACTAGACTTGACATGGGTGGGCATATAAGAGTTCGTCACAGATGCACCGTTCACCACATTACAATTGCTAACGCACAGGTTAATATCTTGTACATCGCTAATGCTCAAGGTGGGCAAAAGTAAAGTCCTATTCTAGTTAACATACTTACTGTTATTCCTAAGTATGTTATATAACATACATATTTTACGCTATTTGTTTTAGTTTTATGTGACAATCTACAACATTACAATGTTTAAATATGTATTAGTAGTAGTATTTTAGTTAGTATGTTCAGTGTATGCTTAAGTATGTTATATAAATAGACATGATATATGATATGTAGACAGTACGTGAAACACTAATGAAATAAGTTTCTTCTTCTTCTTCTTCTTCACATCTTACACTTTTTGTTTTAGTTTTCTCTGGCACGCTGAACAAAGTTTAATACAGACTATATTCGTATCTCTTAACCCACTTTTCCCAAAGTTGGGCGCAGCTGGTGAAGACCGTTTCAATTTCCTGGAAACAAATCGATCAATACTGTGTGTACAACTGTGTATGTGCGGGCGTGTGTGAGTGTGTATGTGCGGGCGTGTGTGAGTGGGTGTGTGTACACACTGTTACTACGCAGTGTAGAACATTAGTAGCCAGGAACACATTTAACGTAATCTGTTAGAGAGAGAGAGTGAGAGAGAGAGAGAGAGAGAAAGAAAGAGAGAGAGAGAAAGAAAGAGAGAAAGAAAGAGAGAGAGAGAGGGAGAGAGAGAGAGAGAGAAAGAGAGAGAGAGAATAATGTTTATAGTGTCACATGTTATATACACTTCATACTAAAACACGTACACGAACAGTAAAATATAACATCCGACCAGGTATGGCCTACCAGGCACTTAGACATAAAAGCAAATTATAACGTCATGATCTGGGTAAGGTAAAATAAGACAAATACTAACACAATGTTTAAAATTAAGGTTGGGTAATGAACACGCACGCTCGCACGCACACACACACGCCAAATTACTTATAAAGTCACGCACACAATCATACACAAACAGGTAGGTACCCACACACCCACCCCACACCATACCACGCACACACACACACACACACACACACGCACAAGTACACGCACACACAAACACACACACACGCACAAGTACACGCACGCACACACACATACCATACGTACATTATACCATACACACGCACACAAACACACACCATACGTACATTATAGCCCCATAACTGTATTTCTGTGACTAAATGTATCCAAAGTCCAAATCTATCTAAATGCTGTGAACCTCCACATTAGTCTTCGCGCTTCAAGGGACGCGATATATACACAAAGGGCGACTATTTTGAAGATGTGGTGATTTAAATGTGTTGCCGGGATAATTGCGTGTCACTGTGACACGACAGCATGGTCGGCTATGACCAACACGTTTGCCTGGTCCCGATTGCGGCATATAACACTATTCACATCGAATACTTGTAAACGATGCAATTTTTGTGTGAAGATGTTGATCCAAAAGGTCAGTACACCTTATCTTTCAGTTCATTGCGATGGAAACATCAGGACTCCACACCAAATTCGGCTGCAAATGTCAGAACTGCTACAGCTACACCAGTCCGGACAGCAATGAAACGACGGACTGTGCTAAGTGTGGATGTTCTCCCATTGACCACACCATCATGAGGATCAGCCCTATTGAGGTGGATAACGATGACGTCTCTGAGCCCACGTGTGATTCAGGGATGCCAACTGCATCCTCTGAGGCTGTATCAGGCATAACATCATTCCCACTGTTGGGTACAACGGCATGGTCATCATCCGACTTTGGAAGTCTATTTGACACCAAGAAACGAGCCTTGGATGATGTCAGTGGCGGACCTGCAAACAAAAAGCCTAAGGGTACAACGACTGGACAAAAAGCAGGCACGGATTCTCTTGGGATTGAGGTATGATCTTCAAACTGTATTGTTATTATTAACTCCTAGTGAATGGTCATAGGACTGTATGTTTCATGCCCCCACCACCCAGGTAACACCCCTGCACCCCACCCACCCCACCCCTCACCCCCCACCCCCTCTCCTCCACAAAAAAAGACAGAAACAAAATTAAACAGGCAATCTCACCCACCCCGATAATAAACTACCAGTCCCAGAGCCCAGCTTGACATATGGAGCTCAGACTCTCCTTAAACGCAACTCACGCCAGCAATAACCAATTCAATGAAAGTGAAACGTGTTAATACTTGTAATCGGGTCAAACTTGACAATCAGGCCAGGGTATCACGGTGTATCACGACAACACGTTTCAAGTATGGTTGGATCTCAATCTGATTAAAAGTCCTGTATGACATCAAAATCCTGTTTGTTTTATCGCAACAGGTGATGCAACCTTTGGTCACATTCTGTTCATCTGTTCTAGGGGCTGCTGAAGCTGAAGCCCTGCAAGGTCCTACAGAAGGGCCAGATCCCCTTCACCGAGCTGGACCATATCCCAAATTATGTCCGAGGAGTGTACAAGATCGCCTATAACTGGCAGACGATCTACGTGGGCTCAAGTTCCTGCAAAGTCAAACAAACACTGAAGAGTCATTTCAGCGGCCACGGTCGATCCGATTTGTTCGAGTTTATCAAAAGTCTGAGCCAGAAGGACCTGGAGAAGGTGACAGTGTATTACCTGGACGAAACAATGTACGACCATAATTGCTCAAAGAAAAGTTATATGAAGTGTATTGAAGACTTGCAAGGGACCAAACCCAAATTCAATGGACCACTTCCCAAAAAAAACACTTCTAAATGGTGGTGCAATATCCAATAAGAATAACACAATCAGTTCTTTTATAGAAATACTCAATGCCCGACATCAAAATGCTTGGGTCCACGAGCGAGAAATTGGCATACCATGCTCCTCCTGCTACCGTAATTAGTTCTAAGGTACCGATCATGTTGATATTTGACATTAACAACATATTGTTGCAAGATCCATTTCAAAAAGTTTTTAGGTTCGTAGTTATAAAAAAAATGTTAAAGTAGCTGCAGCTGAAAAAATATCCATAATAACCCCCATACCCCTCTTCCCTCCCTTTCTCCACCACACACAGACACACACACACACACACACAAAATATCAAATGGTTGGTCCCTAATACTCAAATGACCTCACAGCTATCACTTTCATTAGCATAGTGTTTGCGATTTTGTTTTGAGTTTGAATTAAAACTGAAATATATGCTGTCGCACCATTCCAAATAAAAAGACTATTCTTCTTGGGGTGGTTTTGTTCTTCTTCTTTTTTTGTTGATGCTTATTTGGATTCGATCAGATATAGTAGTACTCACGACCCTTGTACACAGATCGGCACTACACGTGTTTACGTATTTAAGTATTACCCAAGTTGGAGCGAGATGGTGATTGAATCAAAGTTTCGATCATTTCACAGTGAGAACATTTATATATAACGTAGTCACCTTAATAAATCTGAATGTACATTATATTTCTACTCACCTTCTTATCACCATCAAGCAATTCCCTTCGTAACCCGCAAGAAGACTCGTCCCCCTATCGATGAATGTTATGTACGAAATACGACAAACCAATCAGAATGCGCGTATGATTTCAAGTTCTTCGTCAAAGAATCCCTCAGAAATATTTTTTGATTTTATATTTATCTTCCATCTAAAGATATACTCAAAACACAGTTACATGTGTTCAATCATTCTGGATAATTCTGCATGTCCCGATGTGCTTTAAATTCCATCTGAAATATATATAATATATGGGGAAATATGGGGAAATATCCATTACGCAACGAGTTGACAAATGTTTTAGGTATGCCCGTTTGCGCTAAGACGGAACCCGGTCGCAAAAATGTCCATGAGGGGGGCACGAGTCGCTATTGGGCTTGTCCCGGAATAACACGAGTTGGTCACGAATGAGTGTACTCTGGCACTTTTGAAATTTCCCACTGATATCCTTTATCTGTTATCATCTTCAAGTCATTTCCCTTCGTAATCCAAACTTGCAATTGACTAGTGTACACCAGCACGTTTGAAATTGCCCGCTGATATCTGCTATTTGCTTGTCATGGTCACAAGTGGGGTAACATGAGTAAGCATCCCACTCATGTATGCAATTGTTGTTACTGTTAATCCTCCACCTACTATACAAATTCTGTACCATGTTCTTCATTCAGTCTTGCTTGACAACGGTATAAGGATCTGTACCGAAACTTCGCTTTTAGAGTAATTAAAGAAATTGTCATCCATAAATTGTGTCTACTTTGTCATCCGTCAACTTCTAAGTAATGTGTATCAAAAGTACTAAAAGTACTAAAAGTAATATAGTTCTATTTGCAAGTTGGCATGTAGGATTTATTCATTCCGAATTGATAATGTGGGTTGACGTTGTACAATACTGGCTTGCAGTTGGTATCTTTTGTTGCATGATCTACTACAAATGCTTATGCAATTTCAGTTTATTTCAATTTTAGTGCGCAATGTTATCTCTATATTCATGCAGCTGTTTTTTTACTTGATACTTGTATTACTTGTGGGGATATAGAGTTAAACCTGGACCAAAGACATATGCAGACATGAAGGTAATCCATATTGATGTCTGTAGTCTCAAGGACAAAACAGATAGCATAGCAGCTGAATTATTAAAATATGATGTGATATGTTTGAGTGAGACCTGGCTGGCTGTGGTATTGCATTACCTGGCTTCCAAATACCATTTAGGTGTGACAGACCAGCAAGGGGAGGCGATGTAGTTACATATGTTAAAAACTGTCTATCTGCTAAAAGACTTGATGATCTAGTACAAGTGGATCTTGAGGCAGTTTGGGTACAAGTAAAAACTGAAAATGAAAATTTGCTCACAGGTACCATGTACCGTGCAGATAAAAGCATAAATTATTCTAATATGATAGAGGAATCTATTGGTAAATGTTGTCGATGTTAATATGATCACAATTATGAAAGGTGATTTTAATGTTGCTTGTCTTTGAAATCAGAAGGCAGGTGTCTTAAATTTGGAGGACACACGTGGTCTAAGGCAGATAATTAAAGAACCAACAGCAACCACGTCGCATTCCAGCACATTAATTGATATAATTTTCTGCACACACAAAAATAAAGTTGTGAAGTCTGGAGTACTTGATCCTATTTGCACTGACCACTGTCCAGTATTTGCACATGTTAGTGTAAGAAAGACTTGCAATGATTGCAATGCTTAACCAAGGCATCGAGACGTGTGTCTTCAAGTATGTCTTTATTATTCTTAGAGATAATGATACTTTGTCAAAATTGCACTCGGGTTTTATATCTGGAGATTCCATGTAAAGTCAACTCACGTACGTATACAGCGAGATACATAATGCTTTAGATAATGCACAAAGGAATAAACTGGTATGTTGTGTGAACCAATGCTCATGAACACATCACATGTGACGTCATAGATCCATGACTCGAGATGCACCATTTGTCTCGTGCAGGATTAGCGTGTAAAGTCGTTTTAAATCACGTGCAGTATATCGTGCAAAGAATAAAGACACTCTGTTGTAACACTGGACTGATGGTTAGTTTTGTCATTAATTGGTACACGTTGGAAAACTCTCTTCTTAACGTACATACTTCTCTATAAGTTTCGATGGTTCGCGTTTCTTTTGGCAGTGAGTATAGATAATCATTACAATTTAAGAGTGAGTGAGTAAGGTTTTACACCGCTTTCAGCAATATTCCAGCAATATTGCGACCCGGGACACTAGAAATGGGCGTCACACATTGTGCCCATGTAGGGTAATCGAACCCGGATCTACGGCATGACGAGGGAATGCGTTTTAACCACTAGGATACCCCATCCACCCTACAAGTTAAGAAATGGTATGCAGTTACAAGAAATATTTTGTAAGACTTCGTTTTGCACCAAGTTATTTCTTGAAGCTGCTACCCGCCTTTAGAATCTGTAACCAGATGATGTAACGCATTCTAGCACGTACGCTGATTAAAAAACCCAACTTTTTTATACTTCTGGAAATTGTGTATACTTTGACTTCAATTACGGTACTTGATATTGTAAAATTGTTCATGCTCGTTTAAGAACTGGATACAGTGGTCTCAATAGACATAGTGAGTGAGTGTGGTTTTACGCTGCTTTTAGCAATATTCCAGGAATATCATGGCGGGGGACACCAGAAATGGGCTTCACACATTGTACCCATGTCGGGAATAGAACCCGGGTCTTCGGCGTGACGAGCGAACACCACAAGGCTACCCGACCCGCCCCAAGTAGTCATAGAGTTGAAAGACATATATTTCAAATATTGCAGTATGTCAGTGTCTCCACTTCACTTCCTTTACTTATTTATCGTAACACTAGAAGCACTATGTACTACTACATAACAGGTTTTGGTATGACAACAGCATTGTATGGTGACAGGATTTAACAAGAGATGTCAACCATAACATGTCTGTAGATGATTTTATAGAAAACAGTGGTAGGTTTGTACATTGAGTTAAATATGTGTCAAGCTTATACGTGTTGGTAACATGAATGGTCTTGCTACTATTTTATTTTTTCTGGACCTTAAAGTTGTGCCCATGTTGGGTAATCGAACCCGGATCTACGGTATGACGAGGGAATGCGTTTTAACCACTAGGATACCCCACCCTCCCTACAAGTTAAGAAATGGTATGCAGCTACAAGAAATATTTTGTAAAACTTCGTTTTGCACCAAGTTATTTCTTCAAGCTGCTACCCGCCTTTAGAATCTGTAACCAGATGATGTAACGCATTCTAGCACGTACGCTGATTTAAAAAAAAAACAACTTTTTGATACAGTTATCTCAATAGACATAGTGAGTGAGAACGGTTTTACGCTGCTTTTAGCAATATTCCAGCACTATTCTACCCATGTCGGGAATCGAACCCGTCTTCGGCGTGACGAGCGAACACCACAAGGCTACCCGACCCGCCCCCAATAGTCAAAAAGTTGAAAGACATATATTTCAAATATTGCAGTATGTCAGTGCGGTTTTTATTGGGAGTCTCCACTTCACTTCCTTTACTTATTTATCGTAACACTAGAAGCACTATGTACTACTATATAAAGGGTTTTGGTATGACAACAGCATTGTATGGTGACAGGATTTAACAAGAGATGTCAACCATAACATGTCTGTAGATGATTTTATAGAAAACAGTGGTGGGTTTGTACATTGAGTTAAATATCTGTCAAGATTATACGCACATGGCTTTAGTGTTGGTAACATGAATGGTCTTGCTACTATTTTAATTTTTCTGGGCCTTAAAGTTTTGATATCAACACAAATGTAATGGTGTAAGAGTGCGTTGTTGACATAAGCCAGTTAGGTGAATAAATTAATATCTTTAAACTACGTGACGCCTACCCGTAGTGCTCGATATGCATTGTTTGCCTAGTGATATGTTGACACGAATGAGCTGTCAAAGTTTCCAGGAAAAGTCACAAAGCCCCGCCCACAGATAAGCGTCAATTTCTTATCAGGGGAACACCAATGCACGTCCTTGGTCCAAGCAGTAAGACTGGTGTTAAAAGGTAGGTGGTTTGTGCATATGTGTACATCGATAATGCATCCGACAGTAGATTCAGGTGTACAGCTAACAATCGGCAATACCTGGTTTGCCTGGTTTGATTGTATCTGTTTCAATGGTTACCACGACCCGTGAAGATCCGGAGTAGAATAGGTCTTCAGCAAACCACGCTTGCCGTAAAAGGCGACTGTGCTTGTCGTATAAGGCGACTAACGGGATCGGGTGGTCAGGCTCGCTGACTTGGTTGATGCATGTCATCATATCCCAATTGCGTAGATCGATTCTCATGATGTCAATCACTGGATTGTCTGGTTCAGACTCGATTATTTACAGACCGCTGTCATATAGCTGGAATATTGCTGAGTGCGGCGTTAAACAACAAACAAACAAACAAACAAACAAACTTTGTTGACCACTCAGAGTGATCAACGTTGAAAAACAACAAGCAGTGGACCTTAGAACGATAGCGGGATTAGTTATAGTCAGTTTCTGGTGACAGTGTTCACCCTGACCCTGATGTGCTAATGAGTGAGTGCGTTGGGTTTTACGCTGCTTTTAACAGTATTCCAGTTATATCACGGCGTGTCAGCTTAATGTGGGAGGAAAGCCTGAAGTGGTGCAGGTCTTAGACGTTTACCACTTCGGTGAAACCCACGAGCACCGGTTTGGTGCTGACAAACCTAGAAACATAATTGGGGCGAACA